TAAATGCCTGCACTGCTGCACTGCACTGTCTGTAGGGAGCACTACAAATTCATGCCAAGCAAATAAATGCTGACGAGCAACGCAACACAACAACAACAATAGCATAACAACAAAGATTCCTCCTATAGCCATTTAGACATGCTGTTAGTGAGCACCTATTGAAAGCTGGCACAGCGCATGAGGAGGTGGCGTGGTCTGCAAGCACAGCAGGCCATCGTTGCCCATTGCTGACGTGTACAAAGTGCACCAGCTTCTCATTTAAGGCTGAGTTTACCCAGTGGAATCCCTGGACTGGTTTAAAATTTTCACCCGCTGATGTAAGCCATAGCCAGGAATATAACCGAGGTTCTTGGGTTCACAAGCGCAATGCGGGAACCACTACCTTACCGCTCCACCAAACACACATACAAAAACAAAGATCCCCCATCAAGCATTAATAGACTGTTGGGGCAAGTGCTGTTAACGTATACCTATGAAGACCGGCACGGCACACGAGGGGGTGGGTGGCCAACACCACGCCCGACCGCCTTTATCTCCCTAGTGGCGATGTTTACATATCGCACCAGGTACTCATTTGAGGCTGAGTCGACCTTTGGGAGGCCGAGGACCGGTTCAGATAATCGTCACTGGTGTTGGCCGTGAAACGGGAATTTAACTCGGAATGCTGGTGTCATAGCGCAGCGCCCTAACCGCTACACTACCGCTCCCAAAACACGCGCACACAAAAAGCTGCGCATATAATTTGAGATGTACAACAAGGAATGAAAATAAACACGCCACGTTTCTGCTGGTGGACCACGCTCGTAATTGCCGCAAATGAAAGAAGGGCGACAGGCCCGCAGCGTGCAAGCACCAGGCATGCCATCGGCCAGAACCAAAACACAAGCCTCAAAGTTTGGTTGCCAGATTTCAAATACGGCATGTGCTCTCCCCCAATTCCAGCATGCAGACCCAAGTCTAATAGCATGTTTTGGTTAAGCATTAACTTAAACATCGCAGGGACGCGTTACATTTCTCCACTGAGGTTTGAGTACTTTAGCGGGCGACCTTTACGGCAAAAAAAATGAATGAGCCGGTGTTATATATTTTTTTAGTTTCATCCGCGAATTTTGACGGGAATTAAAATGGCCGCGGCGTGTGGCGTGAGTGGTCGCGACAAAAACCTCGGAGGGCAAATGAACCTCATGGTCCCAAAAGGTCCCGGCTCTCGCGTAAAGGAGCCATCCATTTGGTACGTACGCATGGAGGGGCGGTTAACCCAAATGCGTAGCTTGCGTATGGGGGTCTATTGACAATATGCGCACGCATAGGAAACGTGGGGGGTGGGGGTTGGGGGGGTTGAAGCCTCGATAATAATTTGTCTGCATTGGCCTTCAAATGAGTTACATAGTCCTGGGGTGGACAATCTGTTTGCTTAAACACGTGAATACAATCAATCCTTGATCGTTTCTGCGTGGATTAAATATCGTCCGTTCTATATGATTCGGGGTTGGGGGGGGGGGGGGGTACGTCAGGCGTACGTACGCAGGTGGGGGGGGGGGTAAAAAGTCTACGTGCGTACAGGGAGGGGAGGGAGGGAGGGTCAAATTTTGACAGATGTTTGCGTACCTACTCAATGGATGGCCTCAAACTGCGTTGCAACGTCATTTCACGTCCGTTGACGAGCTCGACACGATGCGCGAATCAAAGTTTAAAAGTTTTGTTTCTTCGGCGCAGTCGTCCTCGCCGCCGCTGTGCTTGGACACGACGACAGAGCGATCCGTGCCACGCGGGTCGCGGCGTTTATGTGCGCGGTGGCGCGGAGTTGCCAAAAAAGAAATTGAATTCATTACGATTTTGACTTCCGTTTATTCGGGACCCCGGGGTCCCCAGCCATAAAGGTTCATTTGTCGTCCGCTCGGAAAGGAGTTTACGTTGTCCCCCGAGTCTGGGGCGACCATACGCCGACGGCTATTGAACCCGGCAGATGTTCAGCCTCTGCAGCATCGTCTCTAATCGGCTTCGAATGCCCGAATCAATTCCACAAACCTTCGATATTCCCCGCGTGTAAACGCAATAATTCCAGCTTAATTGGGCGCGCCGTGTCACCTGGGTTCACGGCCACGGGGTCCCGTACGTTTTCCTATAAACACACGCGGACTCCAGATACTCGCTCGAGTCACCGCAGGGCCCTCTGTGTGTGTGCGCGTGTCTCAAACGAGTAGCTGGTGTGGTGTTTAAACATCACCACTAGGGAGACAAAGGTGGCCCGGTGTGGCGCTCGCCACCCACCCCCCTCGTGTGCCGTGCCGGCCTTCAGAGGTGCTCGCTGACAGCACTTGCCCCAACAGTCCGTTATAGGCTATACGGGGGATCTTTGTCGCATTTGATCCCGGGATCGTGATAATAAATGCGCGTGCACATGCTGACCGCCTCCTACGATTAAAGGTCATCGATTAAAGGTCATCGATTTAAGGTAATCGATTCCCAACTCCCCGTCCGCACCCGGCCAGTTCTCTGCAGCTTGGCGTTAGCTGCACGTGAACGCCGATAACAAATTGGACATCCAAGAACGTCAATTCGCTGTCTTGTGGAATGGTAATGCGCCACTTTGCAATCACTGTATCTGTTGCCGTTGAGGCTTTGATTACCTGCCACGTGCAGACTAATGCATCAAAACGCTCGATTTCCTACGTGACAGTCAAGGTGACTACTCACAGCGAGTACACAATATGTGAATAATTGAAGTCATGGGAGTGTAGGTGTGGATTTCGTGGGGGGGGGGGGGGTTTCCACCAAATTTCACTCAAACGTGCTAATGGCATCATGTCATTAAGAAACAGAATCCATTTGGAAATCTCACAGAGCTGTTACACCTCTGGATCAGATAACAGCTTCAGTAGATATCATTCACAGGACCTTTCCTGAATATTCCATCAAGTCTACTTCATGCTTTCCCATACACTCCGCTATGAGAATATAATCTATCAAAACAATATTGTTTTAAGCAAAATGAAATAAATTTAAAAAATGTGATTCTGCAGTCATCAGCGAGTGAGCTCAGACCATCAATTTGAGAACCTAGTTGAATGATGACTGAATTCAAACCCATGCCCTCATCAGTGTGGGCCCAACGCTGTGACCTCTCAACCGCATAGTCATCTCAGGCGTAGATCTATTTATAAATGCTCAATTGTACCAATCGCTTAAGTTAGTGCACCTTGCACTAAAGCTTCCTTGCACTAAGCTCAATGAAGAACAAGAAGAAGACAACAACGATTTCCCAAATGCCCACGCTCACTGAGCTGCAGCGTGGTGCAATTTGACACAATTGGCAACACCAACCAACTCCTTAAACTTCACCTTCTCCGAGGGGGAAAAGGGAGCAGTGGCGGTTAACGGCAGAGGAAAGGGGCAAGGGTGTTACATGCCATTTCCGCCCATTATTGCCACTCCTCAAAGTGAAAATATTCGCGCCCTCCTGGCACCAGCGACGAGCCGCGTGGGCTCCTGAGCCGAGAGGTTTACGACGAGCAACGTCCCGAGTTTTACAGGCCCACCCTGTGTTGGTCACGCCGCCCTCAAACCTCAGTGCCACGGCGTGGGAATGTTAATCACAGTTGGGAACAATCACTCATGCGCCCACGGTTATTGTTAAGTTGTGCATTATTAGACCTCCTTTGCCAGTACCAAAATGTAATAATAGGGTTTTTCCCCTTTTTTCTGGCAACAAAACTGAAACCTTTTTTTACAAGGAATCATGTTACTGCATTAACCACAATACCTGCAGTCAAAATGCAAACAAGAAAATACTATGATAATATATGCATTGTCCTTGAAACTGATTTGGTCCACACCAAGGGACGGCTTTCTTTTGAGCCTGGACCCAATTGGTGCTCAATTGGCGTCATCTGGTCGAGCACCAATTGGGTCGAGGCTCAAAAGAAAGCCGTCCCTTGGTGTGGACCAATCAGTTTCAAGGACAATGCATATATTATCATAGTATTTTTTTTGTTTGCATTTTGACTGCAGGTATTGTGGTTAATGCAGACATGAATCCTTGTAAGAAGGTTTCAGTTTTGTTGCCAGAAAAAAGGGGAAAAACCCTATTATTATAAGTTGTGCATTATATTGTTTTCTGTCGAATTAAGACTCATATCTAACAGAGAGGGTCTTTGCCTATAAGCATTTGGCAGTTCACTGGCATTTGTCCAACCGAGCCTCACTCTGCTGATGTCAGAATTGGTCCAGAGTTAGCTTGCGTTGAGCCAAATTTTGCACTCAAATATGGAAAGGAGGCGTATTGTCTGATTATCGATTTTATTTCCTCCACTGTGTTGGATTTGAGCTACGCAGTAAAAGTTAAATTAAATAACAAATTACCCACGTTACATTTAAATGCAGCTGAATCTCAAGACTTTGTATGCCAAGTGGGGCATGTACATAACGGCGAGCCACTGAACACAGGAAGACACATAACATGTGTTCACATTTCAAACAACAGAGAAGAGGAGGAGGAGGAAGATCTTTCCGTTGCAATTTTGTGGTTGTGCCAAGGCGCAACCACAAATTTCGGTAATTAAAAAAAAACGAAATATTTCAAGAGCCGCGACGCACTGTGGGGAATACGAAGGCGGTGGTCCCTCAGTAAATAACCGTCACGAAGCAGCAGTCCTTAAAGAGCCGGGCACAGCTCCGGAGCCGCAGGTTGCCGGCACCCTTCGCCCTGCGCGGAAGGTCGGCACGTGAGAAGCCACCGGTCTCACGTGAAAAAAAGAAAAAGGGAACCACGCGTGGGCAAAGAAAAAAAACACCAAACGCACGACGAGTATCGGTCTGACGAAAAGAACGTGTGGCCTTCCGTACAGTGGCACCCACAAAGGGCTGGCCATCACCCTAGGTGAACCCTCCAAACGTCTCCCCCCTCATTCCCGCGCCCAACCTCCCGAGGAGACCCCTAATCAAACAGCGCGTGTTTGAGATGTGCCAGCGGAATCCTGGCGGCGTGAACGATCGCTCACCGAAGCAGTTGTGGCCGTCCTCGGCGAGCATGAACCCATCGTAGCAAGTGCACCGGTAGTTGCCGGGGATGTTGATGCACTCGTGGACGCAGCCGCCGGTGTAGTCGCTGTCGCACTCGTCGATGTCTGCGGGTTTTCGAAAGGGAAGGAAAAAACGCAGGCATTGATTTTAAAGTGGGGTGGATGGGGGCAAGTTAAATTAAATGGTCACCAGCTTATTGCATGTTGAACTTCTTGTATGCTATGGTGAACTTCTTTCGCACCGAACGTAGCAAACCGTGCAAATTGGAGGTGCGGAGGAAGGGCAACAAACTCAACACGAAAAGCAGTTCTAAAGAAATGAGTTTATGTATGTACTCCGTACGTTGAATGTATGTATGCTTAATGTATGTATGCTTAATCGATGCGCCGGGGACTGTATATTTATTTAAACCAAACCAAAATCTCGTGGTGCCATCTCAAGGCCACGAGGACTCTATTTGTGCATTGTAGATGTCGTTGCCCAACATTTCCATAACAGAAAAAATCGTTAAATTCTTATAGGGCATGTTCATTATTTTAAAAACGTTCTTTTGATCGCTAGGGATTAACATATATGTGATAATAAAAAGAAAAACATTAAACGTATTTAAATTATCAGTATTTTTTTCTTGCGTTTTAATACACATATAATGCAGACATATAATGCAGACTTATTATTTCAGGCACTATCCGTACGCTGCGATGTCTCTCCACATCTTAAGATCTCTTGCCCATGGCCAGAGTCCATGGCTTCAAGGTCCCCCCCCAGACCGGTTGTCCTTCCCCCGCACCTCCGATTAGCACGGTAGGCTACGTATGGTGCGAAAGAAGTTCAACATACGTGCGTTCAATATTCATCTCGTAACACCACACTCGGGTTCTTGAGCCATAACATAAGGAGGGAGATGACTGAGGTGGCTTCCCGCCGCCTTCCTCAGCGGTTGTTGCCCGTGCGTCGTCGCACCTTCACCGGGGTTACAATGTAACGGTCATGCCTTACGTGTAAATACACCGCAGGATTTGCATACGATAGGAAACGCGACTGAGCGGGCAGTCAGTCATTCACACGCGAGAGAGCAAGTCAGCTGCTTGGGCCGAAGTACGAGCGGCGAACGCATGCCGTGCACGCACACGGACAGAGAAAAAACCCCATTAAGCGTGGTCGTCCCGACATGAATGAGTCAGCGCACCGTGTTGGGGACGCAGGCATTCAAAACGGTCGGGGTTTATTACACCTGCAAAAGCGGTGGGGTTTTGCGCAATGATTTCGATAACGCGTGATGATGATGCCATCTCGCCAAATGCCACCGGGACCTCACTGGCTGGTTCAACGCGCCTGCGGCGTGAGTGGCTGGGGACGAGGTAGGGTCTGGCGTGGCCACGAACTGTCAGGCTGCTTTTGTAGACTTAACATTGCAGATGGGATTAATGCGCGCAAATTAGACGTGCCTTGTCAGATTGCTCACATTAGTTTTACTGAGTTAATTACCCTACAATAGTTAATTCAATCCATTGGGCTGTATTCTTACATCCAGACTACAAAGGTCTTACACGTTACTTTTTCTCAGTCGACAAAGTAATATTTTTTTTAAATGGCAGAAATGCAATAGTACGGTAACTTTGAACACAACAGAAGAAACTAGCAATGTTTTCCAACAATATATTCCCCCGTGAAATAATGAATATTTAAGATTCATAATACTTAATGAGCAGCAAGTTCCAAAAACAAAGGAATAAAACAAGAAAAATAAATTGTTTAAACACGAACGGAGCTGAGAGAAAACACCCAGACTTTTTTTTGGTGGGGGGGGGGGGTTTACTCTGATTTTTCCACTCGCGTAGAGTAGCAACGGCGAAGCCAGGCGTGGCGTGCGAACCCACGAGACGGGAAATCTGCCTTTCCCCTCCGTACACGAACGAAGGTGTGCGGCGGCCCCACGCCGGTGACGGACGCAGCGAGGAGTTACGCAGCTCGAGCCAAGATTCCCGCTCGCCCGTCTCGAACCCCCTGCCCAACGTCCGATAACGGGCGCGGGGCGAAAACTCCCAGGAAAAATTCCTGCCAATTGTCACCAATTTGACCCCAGGGCCTCTGACCCGTGACCCACGTGACCCACTGATGGTCTGCTGAGGGCGTCCACGCCAGATCATCCGCACGGGCAGGGCCCTGCGTTCATTAGAGCGGTAGCCCACAAAAGGAAATTAGTTTGTATTCTACTGCTGGCCATTCATAATTGCGACGGCACATTAGCCAGAAAGGGCCCACGCTGTTTGCCTGCAGTGCTTCGTGTTTGTTCGCGTTGTAGTTTTCTCACACGGGAATGGATTTTTTGCAGTGACTTTATTTTAAGTTCGTGACGTCACTTCGTACGACGTTTTGCCTCGGCGACGATTGGGCGATGTAGATAACCGATTAAAAAATAAAATTCGATGTCTCAAAATGTATCCCTTTATAAAAGGACGTTTTGTATTTGATAATCGATAATAATTTTTCATCCCTTCGCCGATGCACTGCGGCATGATCAAGCCCGTTTGAGCATACTTCACCACACCGGTTAGCGTGCACTGGTCAAGTGGGAGCACACTGGGTCAGACACAACTGACGATAGAGCCATGGTCGGGGGTGTTGCTCAGGTCACTGGGTTCGTAGTGCAGTGCATTACCCGCTGTACCACTGCTCCACCCAAATGGTTTTTACTTGGTGTATATCTGTTATATTGAAAGGTATTTATTTCAATTAACAACGATACACAATGTGAAATTCACTGCACTGGCATGTGGTAAGCCTGATATTTTTTTACTTAAAATAAAAATTGCCAAGCATTTGCACCCATTTAAACATTGTGAATGAACATTAATTTGCGAAGTTACATCTCTTATTTTTTCATATCGACAAGCTGTGCAATTTCACAAGAGCTGGTCAAAATGATCGGTCCTTGGCAAAATGCAATCATACTCTTCGCATCGGCCTAAATAAGTCTAAGCCTGCACCCAATAGCCATAATTTACTCGAGCACCGTAACTCCTCGACTGGATTTTTCACGATTATCCGATCACAGTGGGCAGCCACATTATAAATGCGCATTTTTTCGCATGAATGGGTGATAACTTAACGCGCGCATGACGGTAATAAGCCCAGGGAAGGCGATACGACAAGCTCAGCCTGATATGTTCAGGTCACGGACCACAGAGTCCTCAAGACTGGTGAAACAGATCAGAGCTCTGGGTGTTTGCGTCACGGAACGTACGTTTACAGCCTATCTGATGATGAAAGCAAATATAAGCAGAAGACTACCTTCTTTGTATTTTCAATATGAATGGAAAAATAAAAGTGTCTATCAGCCTTTCTGGAACATTTGGTTTAAGCAAGCAACCTCTGGACCTGGTTTTGACCTTCTGGGTCTCATCAGCAGAGTCAGGATTCGGTAAACAAATGCTTCTGGGTTACCAGATGTTATTAAACATATGGTGCCCTGTTCAACACAAAGAGCAATACTGTATTGTTATCATACACTGTTGTAAAGCATGATATAGGTAAAAGCAAATCTAAGCAGAACTCTTTCCTGTATTCTGTCTATAATTGCATTTATGTTTCAACCCATCAGCCTCTTGGCTTTCCAGACCAATATTATATAGCACCAATTGTTCCATGGTGGAGACATTTTCACGCGCGGCGAACTGCTAACTCATTCTTCCTGAACGTAAGTGCATTCAGCAGAATAGGTTCTGGTTAAAGTCCCCGTGCAATGAAAGACAACCGGAAGCATTTTCTCAGCAAATATATCGTACAGTACTGACATGCTGTTTGTGTGTTTTGTCTATTTGCGTGTCCGCAATGGAACCACAAGAACAAATGCAGGCATGTCAGACACGGCGATGACATGGGCTATTCTGCTTATCGCACCGGCAGGTATCGCAACGAGGATGCTCATGTCACACCGTGTGATTATCAGGTTATTTCAATATTCTGCGCTGTAATTCCGTTACCAAGGAATTTACCGGTCACACTCAGGATTTACAGACGCACGCGTATAAATGGAATGGCACAATACAACGTGAACAACAAGCTAGCCTGCAGCACGCACACCTTAATAACTCAAACCTTGTACCCTAGTGTTGTTGCAGTGGCAATAATCGTAACAAAAAATTATGCCATTTATTTAGCCGAGGAAATCCCCACTGAATCTCGTGACTTTTATTGTTTGTTCAAGAGGTGCCCTTGCCTTGGGATGTTTGGCCAATTCCTTTAATGAGTGTTTGTCACGTGGGGAGGAAACCGGAGTGCCCGGAGAAAACCCACGCACACGGGGGAATAACACGCAAAGCTGCAACAGCAAAAAAAAGGTATCACCAAATTCTTAATCGACAGCAGAAAGATGTCGCACAACGTTTCAGGCAATGGCCCTTCTACACAGTAAACAATGGGCGGATACACCGGCTCGCTGTCGAAACACTTTCGGACTCTGAAACAAATTAGGATGGTTTTTTTTTAGACCTTTTACCAACATCTTCTTGCAATCGCAACATGCAAGATTCCCATGAGCAGACATTAGCGAATCGCACCCTTTAGAAGTGAAAAATCGTTCCACAATGAGACTCCCATGTAATGCGAAAACTGCCCAGCCGTCTGCCGTAAAAGTGCATCTCGGAAAGCAGGGCTCATCGTTTCACTTAACGAGACTTGCGCCTCCATCCTCATCACTTCTGCTGCAATATGAATAGGCGGGAACTACTCTGCCTCAATTGCTATATTTATTTGTATGCCTACGCGTCCTGGCTGCAACGAGCGCGTTCACAGAATTTGCTCTTCGCGTTTGAAACGGGGGTCTCGTCTTTTATATGGGGTCCTCCTGCCAATGTGTTTGTGTGATTTGTTTACCTCACTTGTACTTTGCACTCCGATCGTATTTTTTTTTATTATTTGTTGTTGTAACGTTCTTACCCGCCCCGACTGGACATCTGTCAAAAAGAGCTTTATAGCTCATCGGATTCCTCCAGTATAAATAAATATTCTGATTCTGACTTGTGGTGATCGAGCGACCCTGATGACGAGACGCGGACAGTTGAAACCAGTCCAGAGTGAGATTGCTTGAACAAATACTGCTTGGTGATATTGGAAGGAAAAGCCAATAATAGGATAGGACTAAAAACACGACCGCTTTCTTTGTACGTAGGAGACAGGCAGCGGCAGTTCTGCTGAAGTATGCTCTCACCTCGACGCAGATATGTAAGCCCTTGCAGTTCACTTGAAAAGTGGTAAGGAATTTAGAAAATGCTATTAAGTTTTACTGTCGCATAGTTCAGCATTTATTTATACTGAGAAAGTGAAAAGTACGAGCGCACTTGGGGTACAACGATTCCATCGCCCCCCCTCCTCCCTTCCACTACTAACGGGAGATTCTATAAATTGTCTGTTTTTATTTATTACACATCTTTATACCCTTTTAACCGCTCGCTCCGTGAACCTGAGCGTTAAGATTAGCGCATATAATGTGCGTATTCTAATCACATCCGTCGATGAATCTACGCATCATTAACGACCTGTGCCTTCTCATGTATTCCAAATGAGTAGGGATTAATTTCAGCCAGCTGAAGCTGTCTGGGGCTGAGCTTCAGAAAATATCCCCCTCCACCCCTCACCTGCTGTTGCAGAGGAAGGGGGGGGGTAGACTACGTGAGGTTGGACCCCCCCCCCCCAATAATATTCCATGAGAAATTAAGCCCTGGAAAAGAGATCGTTCAACAACCCCATCGGTCTGTGTTCTTGGGCAGACGGCAGCGTTGGCAAGCGCAATTTGGGTAGCAGCAGTGTGACGCAGTGATTCACGCACCGCGTGACGAACCCCGGTCACCCAGGTTGGATTCGTAACTACGGCTAGTATCAGTGGCGAGTGATATCTGAACGGATCCCGGGCAAACTCTCCAATGTCACAGCACGGGGAAGGAAGTACGGTATGACCAAACCCTGACCACTGACACAAACATGGGCATGCCAATATTCAGCAATGGATTGACAAAGGTCTGTAAATGAATGCTATTACAAGCGCTGTACTATATGTACAGGGCTCTTGTCAATCCACTGCTTTATGAAGGCTTACTCACAACGTGCGGGTTGCAGGGGCCATTGGAGCATACTTCACCACACTGCTCAGTTCGGGTTGGTGAATGCAGAAAGAATAGACGCAGTAGCATAGACGTTTAGCACCAACAATTGAGTTTTCTGCACTGCCTTCTGCCCAAAACGTGGCATCGCAGCAGCCTAGAACGACTGCGATATATGTATGGTGACCGCCCAGTAAAGTACTATCCAGGGCTCAACCCTGCTTAGCTTTCTGGGATCTGACGAGGCGAGGGTGCACATTGCAGGGGTGAACCTGGTCATAGGCAGGTGACACGGTAGCTTAGCATCACCATCAGCCATGATGAATCCACTGCTGGATGAAGGCCCTCAATACCTAACCTCCCCCCTGCCCCCAAGACGTTGCCATCCCTCTACAATCCACCTCGCTCCTACCACAAGACGAGCTGATTTCATCGTTCCATCTCCTCGGTGTACGTTCCTCTCTCTCTCTCTCTTTCGTACGTATGTGTGTATGTATATGCGTGTTGAACTTCTTTCGCAGCGCACGTAGCCGACCGTGCTAAATCGGAGGCACGGGAATTCAGCGTGAGCTCGCACGAGAGTCGAGCGCGTCGGGGTGAGTGGAGGTACGCTCTGCGGGCACGCACCCTCGCAGTGCGTCCCGTCTCCCTTGAAGCCCGGCTTGCAGATGCAGCGGTACGCTTGTGCCGTGTTCTGGCAGATCGCGTCGATGTGGCAGTCGTCCGTGCTCTCGGCGCACTCGTCTCTGTCTGCCATAGGGCCCCCTTTGTGGGGGGGGGTGGAGAGGGGTGGGGGGTACAACAGACAGGGTTGTGTGAGAAAGGTTCGGCGTGTGTCGGGTGACAAGGGGTAAAGAGGACGCCAGGGTGGCGACATGTTTACTACCTTGCCTGGTATACAGGAGGTCGGTGAGTTCGATCTCGACCCTGACGCCTGCTGTATATTTAGAGTTTGCGTCTCTCTCTCTCAGCATCATCATCACGGTGGCTTGGAGATGTTAACTACTTTGCCTGGTATACAGGAGATCGGTGAGTTCAATTTCGACCCTGACGCCTGCTGTATATTTAGAGTTTGCGTCTCTCTCTCTCAGCATCATCATCACGGTGGCTTGGATATGTTAACGACTTCGCCGGGTATACAGGAAGTCGGTGAGTTCGATCTCGGCCCTGACGCCTTGTTGTACACTTGAATTGTGTGTCTCTCTCCCCGTGGTCGCCTTGTCTCTGGGGTCCTCCGGTTTTTCCCCTCCACATTTAGAATCACCATCACGCCTTTTGAGTATTTGGCTGCTATACATTTCCACGTGATGATGAGCCACTTCGTTCAGCTATCATTTTGTGGTCAGGTCGCTTCTGAAAAAAAAGAGCTACGTAGCTCAGCAGGGCATTGCCTGATATAACAAAAAATCAAGCAAAACAAATTGTTTAGTGTAAAGTACAGGTGCAGCCCCTGCAATCCCTCGCTCACGCCACTGCTAGCGGAAGCGCCCCCCCCCCCCCCTCCGCTAGAGGGAGCTCTCTCGAGCCACCTCTCGAATGGCACTGCAGCTTTCACTTCCACGCTTGCTGTTCCCAGACCCTCTTGGAAGAGGTGGGAAGTGAAACCCCCCCACACTTTACCCCAACACAAGCAAACCTGCCGAAGCATGAAGCGTGGCCGTACCCATTTATACTGCTGGGCGTATTGCTGGGTGATGGTTTATTTTATTCGCCGCACCACGTCCAGAGTACCTCCTGTCGTCGTGCCTGTGCCTACTCGTCACCTGCCCACCTACTCCAGTCTACCAGCCATCCGAAACGTAGTCAGTGAGAAATGAATGCCTGGTGGTAAGTAGTCTGAGCGAGTATTATAACGTGACGCACACACGCGCTATGCAACACACGCACACGTGACATAGATACGCAACACACGCGCACATGAAACACACACACGGCAATAAGACAAAGATCCCCCGTATAACCTTTATATAGACTGTTGGGGCAAGTGCTGTTTGCGAGCACCTATTAAGGCCGACATCGCGTAAATGGGGGCTGATTTGGCAAGCACCACCCCCGGCCGTCTTTGTGCGCTCGTGTCGATGCTCACACAGCGCACTAGGTTACTCGTTTGAGGCCGAGTCGACCTAGGTGAATCCGTGGGCAGGTTTGGGATATCACTGACCAGTGATGTTAGCCATAGCCGGGTATCTAACTTAAGTGGCCGAGTTGGGAGCGCAATGGGCGCTGTTCACTGCGCCACCGCTCCCCGCCGACACCACGGAGCTTGTGCCAGGCTAGGTGCGCTTTGTGGCCACGCGAAATGTCGAAGGCTCGCTGGCAAGGAGGTCACAAACACACGGAGATACGCACACAAAAAACACTCCCACAAAACACACACGGACACACGGACACACGCGTGCGCATACGCTCACTTGCGCAACGCAACGCACATACGAACGCGCGTCACTGCACTCGCAGCGCACATTCACACACAACACACACAAACATGTGGATCATCACACGCACGTTCACACACCAGACACGGAGGCACACACGCATACGCGCGCGCACAGGAGAACACCGATCCCCCGTGGTAGCCTTCTCGACAGACTGTTGGGGCAAGGTGCTGTGAGCGAGCACCCCCAGAGAGAGCGGCACGTTTCACGTGGGAGGTGTTTGGCCAACGGCACCGCGCCCGTCCGCCTTTGTCTCCCCACAGTGCTGATGTTTGCACACCGCAACAGGAAGTCGTTCAAGGCTGAGTGGACCTAGTCGACGCCCGTGAGTCCACGGCTGGTTCAAATATTCGCCAATGTTATCGTTCGTGAGCGGGAATCGAACTCGTGCCGCCTGGTTCTCTACCCACGACGCTATACTGCTCCCAAAGTCCCACGGGACCCATACACGACACACGAACATACGTACGCACACACAGACACACAGACACGCATTCAGCACAACCACGCATGCCAACACGCGTGTACATATACATACACACATACACCTGACCAGATCCATTGTCTTTCACTCGTTGTTTCAAAAGGAAGATCGGAATCTATTTTGCCAGGAACTGTGATTTTTTTTGTTTGAAGTCCATGCATTGCATATGTAACACGGCGCAGTTGACTGACATATGTTACGGTATGGTGTACACGTGCGGTATACACATATGTGCAGTATATATGCGTTTTTTTTTAAACTAAATTTCCGAATGGCACGAAAGAGAGAGTTGGGCTGGCCGCCCTTGCGTATTGTATTGTACATGTGCGTGTGCGCTCGAGTATGCTGTACGTATACACATTCACGCACACGCTTTGAAAAATCGTTCAACGCACGGACCTCTCACGCCTAAGCGAGACGAATTTCGCTACCGGTTTTTTGTTGTTTAAACTCCCAGCGAATTAACTCAAAGCTTCAATGTACACCAACTCGCAAGCGATGTATATACACACACACCCCGTGGTATATATACGTGTAAAATCAGTGGTGTATAGGTAAAAAATTGCAATAATCGCCCGGACCTATTTTCTCAAACGGCTCACAAAATCATTGCCGCGGCGGTACAAAATCAAATGCGATCGATGGCTTAATGTTGGCATGCGTACAAAGAATTAACGCAATCGATCGCAATGTGGGTGCCAAATGCGGTAATTGTTTCTAGCCGTGTCGATATCGCCGTGACTTTAAATTATAGCTGATGTAATTACTGCCCGCATGCAATCCGTGTTAATTGTTTTTGCTTGAGCGTGTATTGAATTTCAGATTTATCTCTGTTGTGCTGTACAGGCAAAATATTAATAAGGTCTATTTACGAACCGATATTGAATTTATTTTCAGTTCCAACTTCCAGTTTGACCCACCCCGTCCCTTCTGTAGCCCGGTGTGAAATCCAAACCTGTCTTCTTTTTTAAAGTGTCGCTCGGCTAATTTGATTTTTTTAAACTGCAAAACAATTAATAAAGAGTCGTTAAATATGGACGCAGTCATAAATTAGTCGTGAGCTGAGCAGTACCAAAAACGCGTGCTCGCGAATTGTTACAAAATATCAACAACGGATTAAAGTCGCGTAACAACACACACACTAGACACATAAATGAGCACATTCATACGTAAAGCAGGGGAAACAAACACATTTTAAACTCCACTACCCTTGGGGTACAAGTGCATTGACTGATTACGCGCACAATTGCAAATGCTGCGTTGGCATTATCGTGTAACGTGGAGGAGCAGCAGAAGCAAGGGAAGGAGAGAGAGAGGACAGAAAGAACAAAAAAATGTCACACGTGAAGAGCGGCTTCGTGTTTGTCTTAGAGTTTCACAGACACACACACAATTTAAGGCTGCGCAAAGCAAACGAGTTTAGCCTGGAAAACCAAACGCAGCTTCGTCGTCGGAAGAGCGCCGCGGGTTTGCCGATACAGATCCACAATCACCGCCGTGGCGTATTGCCTTCTTGAATATCAAGGTTTTGGCACACACAAAAACATACGTACAGCTGACCCAACTATATACGCCGTGTGTGTATATGTAGCAAGCGCGTAATTGGTCTCTGCTACATTTGAGAGATAACGCTAGCAACACACACACACACAAAAAAAACCCAGCGGCAAACAACCCATTGGGGATATCAATTGTTGGCCGGCACTTGCAATAAATAATAGGGCAAGATCGTCCGCCGTAGATAAGGCAACACGGACGCAGCGGAAAGACATTGGTTAGACTTGGCGGGCTCTCTTCATTCATCGCGACATTCTAGCGATACGTCTCGCTGCAAGGACGCAATTAAATAACCCGCGCGGGGCTTTCTACCGCGCAGCCGCTAAACCAGCCACGGGGATGTAAATTGCGGTGATATGAAGTGTGTGCCGTGGGTCTACACACAGGCGCGCACACACACACACAAACACAGAGAGAGACACACAACACAGAGAGACACGCGTGTACAGAGATGAACATTTTTTTTTCCTGCCAAATTGTTCGACGGAACCCCCAGAACGGGACGCGAAAGATTCTCGTCGGTACGGTCATTTAGCACCGTGGACAGAGAGAGGGGGTGGTGGTGGTGGTCTGTCTCCAATCCACAGGGATCGCTTTCGGAACATCCACTCATCATTCAACGCGTCCAGTCAAAGCCGCGCGAAAAATAGAAATGTGAAGAATAAGAAAACATCTTACCTTGAAGGCCGGTGGTTCCTAAACAGGGAGCAGTATTTAAGAGGAGGAAAAACAAACAGAAACGCCACGAAAAACAAACAGACTTCATCGTGGCCGGTCGAGAGGAGCCAGTGGTAAGCTCCTGTGTCGCTTCGGAAAGCCGCTACTCGTCTGAGATTCGGAACGGCGGAAAACGAATTTACATGCCGAGGCCGTCAGTCACATCAGCAGCCCTGGCAGTGGCAAAGCCTTCCTAACCCCCAACCCCCCACTTGCCTCCTCCTCTCTCTCCACACCTCCCCTCCCCTCCACCTCTACCTCCTCACGACTCTACCCCACCACCAGCAGCAGCAGCAGCAAGCCTCCTCTCTCCTCCCCACCGCTACGCAGAGCTAGCCAACCACACAAGGCACGGCCAAATCCCGACAAGGTATTGGAAGGCAAAACTGCTGAAAGCATTGGCTCGTCCGACGTTGACCTGGCCGCTTGCACGCGAGGAAGCCCCCCTCATCGACGTGCCAGTAAATTTGCCATTTCTACTTCTGCCGCAAGAGGTATGGGGGGAGGGGTGTCGAGTAGGTTTGGGAGCTTGGAGAGCAGAGCGAGCTTCAAGTCCGTAAACGTGAAATCGCGTCGGATTACGGGGCATCCAGCCTCGCTCTAATAAACTTTAATGCGTCTATGAGCACGAACACAGCGGCCGCTTCTAAACAAGCGAGCGGTCTGTTTATAGGCTCTGCTGGTGTGGAGAGAGGGAGGGCTGCGAGGAGAGAGAGAGAGAGGAGGAGGAGGGAGACCCGGGGACACTGACATTAGCATGACAATGATCGAGATGACCCTCAACACAGTGACTTCTCAACGGCGTTTGGGCTAGCTTAACAACTATTTCCCTCCCTCCCAGCCCACTCCACTCCTCTCACTCCCACACCCCCCCACCGCACCCCAAACCTCCCCACCCCACCTCCGCTACCCCCCTTCTTCTCTGTCCGCCCGGCCATCCTTTCCAACTTCTCAGAGTGCAAACCTCCATCCCGCGTCCACCCTCCCCATGCACTCCCCTACTCGCCCCACCTCACCCCTCCCGCCCCCCGCTCCTTCCTTTCTTTACGTCCATGATTTACGCACCCGCAGAGAGGTGCCCGCAAGCCGGCTCGAAGATAATCAAGGATGGAAATGGTAGCGTGAGAAATGCGTAAACTTTCGGGCCCTTTGTTGGTGCCACTTAATAGAAGAGGGGAGCCACTTCCTATCTCATGCATATGAATGGCCGCGATCAGATGAAGGGGATGTTTAGAACAGAGCGGGCTTGGGTGGGTGTGGGGACCGCGTTGGGACCAGGCCGTGGTGCCGGTGGTGGTGGGGGTTGAGTGGGAAAGGTAGCAGGGGGTGGAGGAGGTGGTGGTGGTGGTAGTTGTGATGGTAGTGGCGATGGTAGTCTTGGTGGTGGGGTGAGTGGGAGGGTATCAGGGAGAGGAGGAGGTGTTTTTAGTGGTGGTGGTGGTGTTGAGGGTGAATGGGAGGGTAACGGGGCGGGAGAGAACATGGTGGTGGTGGTTTTGGTGGAGAGTGGGAGGGTAGCAGAGTGTGATGGTGAGTGGGGTTAGAATGGGGTAGTCGCGGTTGTAGTGGTGATAATGGGAGTAGTGGTAGTGGTGATAATGGGAGTAGTGGTGGTGGTGATAATGGGAGTAGTGGTGGTGGTGATAATGGGAGTAGTGGTGGTGATAATGGGAGTAGTGGTGGTGGTGATAATGGGAGTAGTGGTGGTGATAATGGGAGTAGTGGTGGTGGTGATAATGGGAGTAGTGGTAGTGGTGATAATGGGAGTAGTGGTAGTGGTGATAATGGGAGTAGTGGTGGTGGTGATAATGGGAGTAGTGGTGGTGGTGATAATGGGAGTAGTGGTGGTGGTGATAATGGGAGTAGTGGTGGTGGTGATAATGGGAGTAGTGGTGGTGGTGATAATGGGAGTAGTGGTAGTGGTGATAATGGGAGTAGTGGTGGTGGTGATAATGGGAGTAGTGGTGGTGGTGATAATGGGAGTAGTGGTGGTGGTGATAATGGGAGTAGTGGTGGTGGTGATAATGGGAGTAGTGGTGGTGGTGATAATGGGAGTAGTGGTAGTGGTGATAATGGGAGTAGTGGTAGTGGTGATAATGGGAGTAGTGGTGGTGGTGATAATGGGAGTAGTGGTGATAATGGGAGTAGTGGTGGTGGTGATAATGGGAGTAGTGGTGGTGGTGATAATGGGAGTAGTGGTAGTGGTGATAATGGGAGTAGTGGTGGTGGTGATAATGGGAGTAGTGGTGGTGGTGATAATGGGAGTAGTGGTAGTGGTGATAATGGGAGTAGTGGTGGTGGTGATAATGGGAGTAGTGGTAGTGGTGATAATGGGAGTAGTGGTGGTGGTGATAATGGGAGTAGTGGTGGTGGTGATAATGGGAGTAGTGGTGGTGGTGATAATGGGAGTAGTGGTGGTGGTGATAATGGGAGTAGTGGTAGTGGTGATAATGGGAGTAGTGGTGGTGGTGATAATGGGAGTAGTGGTGGTGGTGATAATGGGAGTAGTGGTGGTGGTGATAATGGGAGTAGTGGTGGTGGTGATAATGGGAGTAGTGGTGGTGGTGATAATGGGAGTAGTGGTGGCGGTGATAATGGGAGTAGTGGTGGCTGGTGATAATGGGAGTAGTGGTGGCGGTGATAATGGGAGTAGTGGTGGTGGTGATAATGGGAGTAGTGGTGGTGGTGATAATGGGAGTAGTGGTGGTGGTGATAATGGGAGTAGTGGTAGTGGTGATAATGGGAGTAGTGGTGGTGGTGATAATGGGAGTAGTGGTAGTGGTGATAATGGGAGTAGTGGTGGTGGTGATAATGGGAGTAGTGGTGGTGGTGATAATGGGAGTAGTGGTGGTGGTGATAATGGGAGTAGTGGTGGCGGTGATAATGGGAGTAGTGGTGGTGGTGATAATGGGAGTAGTGGTGGCGGTGATAATGGGAGTAGTGGTGGTGGTGATAATGGGAGTAGTGGTGGTGGTGATAATGGGAGTAGTGGTGGTGGTGATAATGGGAGTAGTGGTAGTGGTGATAATGGGAGTAGTGGTGGTGGTGATAATGGGAGTAGTGGTAGTGGTGATAATGGGAGTAGTGGTGGTGGTGATAATGGGAGTAGTGGTGGTGGTGATAATGGGAGTAGTGGTGGTGGTGATAATGGGAGTAGTGGTGGCGGTGATAATGGGAGTAGTGGTGGTGGTGATAATGGGAGTAGTGGTGGCGGTGATAATGGGAGTAGTGGTGGTGGTGATAATGGGAGTAGTGGTGGTGGTGATAATGGGAGTAGTGGTGGCGGTGATAATGGGAGTAGTGGTGGTGGTGATAATGGGAGTAGTGGTGGCGGTGATAATGGGAGTAGTGGTAGTGGTGATAATGGGAGTAGTGGTGGTGGTGATAATGGGAGTAGTGGTGGTGGTGATAATGGGAGTAGTGGTGGCGGTGATAATGGGAGTAGTGGTGGTGGTGATAATGGGAGTAGTGGTGGCTGGTGATAATGGGAGTAGTGGTGGTGGTGATAATGGGAGTAGTGGTGGTGGTGATAATGGGAGTAGTGGTGGCGGTGATAATGGGAGTAGTGGTGGTGGTGATAATGGGAGTAGTGGTAGTGGTGATAATGGGAGTAGTGGTGGTGGTGATAATGGGAGTAGTGGTGGTGGTGATAATGGGAGTAGTGGTGGTGGTGATAATGGGAGTAGTGGTGGCGGTGATAATGGGAGTAGTGGTGGTGGTGATAATGGGAGTAGTGGTGGCGGTGATAATGGGAGTAGTGGTGGTGGTGATAATGGGAGTAGTGGTGGTGGTGATAATGGGAGTAGTGGTGGCGGTGATAATGGGAGTAGTGGTGGTGGTGATAATGGGAGTAGTGGTGGCGGTGATAATGGGAGTAGTGGTAGTGGTGATAATGGGAGTAGTGGTGGTGGTGATAATGGGAGTAGTGGTGGTGGTGATAATGGGAGTAGTGGTGGCGGTGATAATGGGAGTAGTGGTGGTGGTGATAATGGGAGTAGTGGTGGCGGTGATAATGGGAGTAGTGGTGGTGGTGATAATGGGAGTAGTGGTGGTGGTGATAATGGGAGTAGTGGTGGCGGTGATAATGGGAGTAGTGGTGGTGGTGATAATGGGAGTAGTGGTGGCGGTGATAATGGGAGTAGTGGTAGTGGTGATAATGGGAGTAGTGGTGGTGGTGATAATGGGAGTAGTGGTGGTGGTGATAATGGGAGTAGTGGTGGCGGTGATAATGGGAGTAGTGGTGGTGGTGATAATGGGAGTAGTGGTAGTGGTGATAATGGGAGTAGTGGTGGCGGTGATAATGGGAGTAGTGGTGGTGGTGATAATGGGAGTAGTGGTGGCGGTGATAATGGGAGTAGTGGTGGCGGTGATAATGGGAGTAGTGGTGGTGGTGATAATGGGAGTAGTGGTGGTGGTGATAATGGGAGTAGTGGTAGTGGTGATAATGGGAGTAGTGGTGGCGGTGATAATGGGAGTAGTGGTGGTGGTGATAATGGGAGTAGTGGTAGTGGTGATAATGGGAGTAGTGGTGGCGGTGATAATGGGAGTAGTGGTGGTGGTGATAATGGGAGTAGTGGTAGTTGTGATAATGGGAGTAGTGGTAGTGGTGATAATGGGAGTAGTGGTGGCGGTGATAATGGGAGTAGTGGTGGTGGTGATAATGGGAGTAGTGGTAGTGGTGATAATGGGAGTAGTGGTGGTGATAATGGGAGTAGTGGTGGTGATAATGGGAGTAGTGGTGGTGGTGATAATGGGAGTAGTGGTAGTGGTGATAATGGGAGTAGTGGTGGTGGTGATAATGGGAGTAGTGGTGGTGGTGATAATGGGAGTAGTGGTGGTGATAATGGGAGTAGTGGTGGTGATAATGGGAGTAGTGGTGGTGGTGATAATGGGAGTAGTGGTGGTGATAATGGGAGTAGTGGTGCTTCCACTCGTGATGATGTGGTGAGTGGAAGGGTAGCAGGAGGCGTTGGAAGCGGTGGTGGTAATAGTAATGAAGGTGGCAGCCGTGGTGTGTATGGTGTGTGTGGTTGTGGCGGAGAGTGGAGAAGCGGGGCTCGAGTAGCTGGGCCCGTAGCCATGGCGATGCTCTGCCACCCGTGTGATCCCGGTGACCGCTGGCAAACAACTCTGACCCTCGGACAAAATTAACTGCGATCGAGACTTGGGAGGACAGGCGGGGGGGGGGGGGTGGTGGACGCGGAGGGGGGTGGACGCGGGGGGGGGGGGTGGACGCGGTGTGCACGCGGCCGTCTCAGAGGGCATTGGCCAGGCCAAGGGCCCCATTATTCCAGCAAGACGTCCCCCCGCCCCATCTGCAGACTCATCACTTCAGACAACAAAGGGCCCTCTGATGCCAAACGAGTGCCCGAGGTGTCGATGTGTTACGGGACGCCTCTGCGCAACGGCTGCGACGTCGGAGCGGTGGCGCGGTGGTGAGAGTAGTGCTCTGCTGAACCCAGCCACGGCTTGAATACGATTCCATGACACGGGCAACGTGGCATGGAATCTGTCCTGGACTCGCGCTCTTTCACCAATTTTGCACTGGTGAAGTATGGTCAAACAATCCCCTAGGCGGCGGGGAGGCCTTCATTCGGTAGTTGATATCAAAACATTGGCTGTGAATTACCATTAGCATTGCGTAATTGTGTGTGCGCGCGCAGCTGTGCTTATGTGTGCGTGCTTATTATTATTATGATCA